ATGGTGGCGATCAAATGACTGTTGTTAAGTGACATTAATTAAATGAGGACAATTTCTAGAGGATACTTAAATGATAATAGTTAAATTATGATGATTTATGATAATAATAGTCAAATAATAATGATTGTTGAGTAATTATGGTCAAACAACAACAATAGCTAACAATGATCGTATTGAACATTGCACAATAGTTCTAATATTCTCTATACTCTAAGTTCTTTTCACAATTAGTCTCTTTTGTTTGAAGAATAAAAAAGTTTTTATAATTTTTGGAAGTAAGAATTTGATGTTATTAACAAATATCTTAACTTTAATTTCAAAAAGTTTTTCACGAAATCTAATAAAAAATTAATTATCACATAAAATTTATACAATTCTAGAATAATAATAATAAATATTATTACTCATCCTGATTTTAATTTATTATTATTTTGTTATTATGTACATAAGATCAATGAAATATAATTTTCAATATTCATAAAACATATAATTTATAATCTTCCGTTCTGATTAAGGGTTTGTTTGGGGCAGCTACTAAAGAAGAAGTTGTTGTTCAAAAAATAATGGTGGTTATTGCAAATTTTTTTTTATTTTGAAAAAGTCAGATCGTGGCTTTCTAGCAGCCACCACAAGTAGCCAGATATAGTAAGAAAACACAATTTTCAATTGTAATTTTTTGAGAACACAAACAAAATACAGTTTTGCTAAAAAAATAAAGCGGTACGACGCCACACCACCGCCCCAAATCCACCCTAAGAGTCTCGATGGGAGCGAAGTTAATTTAATTTTGCTATTCCTATGTTATGGCCATATATATATATATTATTGATTGACCTTATAATCATTAATCTGGTCTAAAGATTATTGTTGGAACCCTATTTGTCTTTAGACTCACACTCAAGAAATGAGATAAATCAAAGGAATAAGAATATCTATTTCTTGTGGGAGAGGGGAAGCAAAAAAAAAAGCCTTTTTTTACATGAATATCCCTCTATTTATAGACAACCATTTTTTGCATTACAAAATAACAATTCATTATAGATAGATCCTAAAAAAAAAAAATTATCAATAATTTTTTGTGTTCTTCTAATTTTAACTTTATAATTACTATTATCTCTAACCGTGTCGTATTTTAATATTAAAGCACGGACTAGGTCAAGTGGTATTTGGCCATTCAATTATAGCGAATATAAATATTATCAAAATACTATCAAGAAAGACACAATTGAAGATAATAATGATATATTTTTAATATCCATAGCTGCAACACAGAACACATGCATGATTCTCCTAAAGTACAACAAATCACTCCCTAATCATCTATACCAAAAACACAATTACCATATTTCTCCTCATATATGTAGATAGCATCCTCATCACTGACAACTCACCCACCTTCATTAACTTCCTTCTTACCAAACTAGACAACTAGTTTCACATTAAACAATTAGGGCTAGTTTCTCAATTTATAGGACTTCAAATTCACCACACAACTCACGACAATGTTGTTGAACAAAGCTAATATCTACTTAACCTACTCCACACAAAAGAATAGTTCACTCTGAATCTTCTCACACTGCTTCCCTCCTCATCCAAACCCATCAATTCCAACACCTGTCCAGTTGACCATAACAAATTTCGGCAAACTATCAGTTTCTAACGATATCTCACGGTTACCGGACCCAAAATCACATTCACACTAAATAATCTAAGCTAGCATATGCACAACCCCCAACCACAACATCAACAACTTCTAAAGAGACTACTAAAAGATACCTCAATGGCACTAGGAACCATGGATTACCAAGTGTTGCGGGCAACCTACAACTTCAAGCCTACACAAATACAAATTGAGCAACAAATCCAGAAGACAGACGCTATATTACAAGATTTTTTATCTTCCTTAGTCCTACTTTATTTCCTGATTATCAAAAAAACAACCAATTGTTGCTTTTTCTTCCATCGAAGCAGAATACGGGGCCATGGCATGAGTCACAACATATTCTATGGCTTAGACGAATACTACATGAAATGCTACAAAAACAAGTTTGTCTTTTAGTTAATACAATAGCATCTCATACATCTTTCTATCTTCCTTAGTCCCACTTTATCTCCTGATTATAAAAAAAAACAACTAATTGTTGCTTTTTCTTCCACCGAAGCATAATACGGGGCCATGACATGAGTGACCACAGATATTCAATGGCTTAGACGAATACTACATGAAATGCTAAAAAAACAACTTTGTCTTTTAGTTAATACAATAGCATCTCATACATTTTAAGAAAATTTAAACAAAAAAAAAAAATTCACATAAAAAAAGAAGTAAAAAATACAACCTTTTGCTTGAGAATTAAAACGCCAACCGTATCATTTCTTCCCAAATACTCTCCCCTCGAATCATCAATTTTACCAATCTCCATTATCGACTAAGATCTCGACCTCTCGCCCAACCGTTCTCCTTTGCCTTCCTTAAAAGCACCACTCACCCTTTTTTACCCCACCCCCCTATTAAAGCTATAAATTGCAAAAACAGAATGTCAGAATCCTCACATTCTTATCCCCATTCTCTCTTTGCATATAACCATTACTGCAACCCAAAGTAAGAGTAAATCAGAGACCAGAAAAAAACACTCTCAGAGAGAGAGAGAGAGATGGGAACCCTTTCTCCTCTTGCAAGAAAACAACTCTCTCAGAGAGAGAGAGATGGGAACCCTTTCTCCTCTTGCAGAAGAGCCCATAAGCGAAGAAGAAGGCATCTCAGCAGAGAAAGGAAGCACCTTTCGAAGCTGGCTGAAGAATCTTCAGCTCTTCCACCGCAAACCAAACTTCAAAGTTCTCCTCAGTGTCATGGCCTGCCCTCTCTCTCCTGTTTCCATCTTACCAAAACAATCACTTGGAGTGAGTTTTCTCTCACCCTTATGCTCCCATTACAAGCACCAAGATTTGATCTTTCTGGCTTCATTCTGTTTCTGTTTGAAGTAAAGTTAGAGTTGTTTATTAGTTTAATGAACTTAATTTGAATCTTTGATTCTTAATAATTATTATTTGAGTTAATGATTTGAGCGCATGTCGATGGAAAACTTAGTTTGAGGACAAGTCGTAAGTGAAATTGTATGAAGCTAAAAGATGATCTTGTAATGGTGTTTAGGATAGCTTCACACGGTTAATTAGTTTCTTTATCTATTGTCTTATTAATAATTTGTGGTGTTTAATATAAACAAAAAATAGTATTGTACTTATAAAAGATTCATAATAATTTTTCTTTCATTTCGTTAATTCATGTCAGCATTAGAATGATTTTTATCAAACAGTTATAGATCAAGTAACATTTTTAACAAAAGTCTTGACATAATTTTATCACATCTATACGTATTTGTTTGCTCACAACTAAGGGTGCAAACGAGTCGAGTCGAGCTCAAACCATGCGAAGCTGTGCGCTCTAGCCTGACTCGTACTGGCAGTATTAATCGGCTCGCCAGCCTAAACTGAAAACTCAATTTTCATGGGAGGTGAAGGGGCAATGGGAGCTCATAAAAAAATGCATCGAAATGATTAGTGATATGCTAATAAAAAGCTTTGCAGGTGGCCTCCTCAGCAGAGTACATAATACGGCAGTTTCGCGCGACGTCGGGGTGTAGCAAGATGGAGACAAATCCGACGAAAAGCATGTATGTCGCCGGCCGTGTGGCGGTGGCTGGAAAACATGGCGCGACCTCCGCCACCTCCTTTTCCAGCCAACAAGGCTCCTTTGTGATGTGGCAGATGTCGCCAACCAAGTGGCTCCTCAACCTTAGGGTTGCCGGCCTCCACGTGTCTGCTGGAAGTGACGGCCATGTGGCATGGCGCCGCACGCCATGGCTCACCGCGCATGCCGCAAAAGGAGGCGTGCGGCCTCTCCGGAGAGCACTGCAGGCAAGTGGAGTCATCGAGTTGTGTTATTTATTTAGCCTTTTTTTTTTCCCTCTATATTTTTTGTTGTTTTGCGTAGAGAAAATATTGCAGTTCTCCACATGTGTGGACGATCAATGGTTGGGTGACAATTCAACATGATTGGGCCCCGCCTTAGCATGCATGTCGCATTGTTGCCCGTTAATTGGCCGTTCACATGGAGATATTATTGCATACGGACACAGCATGCCGGGATCTACGGGCAGGATATATTTACCGATTCTGACCGTAGATCACCGTGATCTACGGTCAGGATATATTTCAGTTTTTTTTTTAAATTTTAGGTGGGGCCCATCGAAATATATCCTGACCGTAGATCACCTGATTTACGGTCAGAATCAGACACCACATACAAGATGCATGCGACAAGATGCATGCGGTGTCCGCCCGTATGGAATAATTTTTCGTGGATAAGAAAGATCATATTTTCTCCTGCAGCATGAGATGTGGATGGACACAATATTTATCTTGTAGAGTTACATGGGGTGTTGATGCTGGGTATGGAGAGACATTTGAGGGACAGGTTTTTAAAATAGATTAGGTTTTAAATTAGTTAAAAAAAAGGATATTTTTTCAATTTTTTTAAGAAATAGTCTAAGTGTGACTTATTTTTGTTGTATGAGGTGCCACAAAAATCATTATTTAATTAAATATAAATTTTTAATGAAAAATTAAGCCTATTTTAAAAACCTAATAATTTAAAAAGTTTAATTTTGGAAAAATGTAATTAATTTTTAATAGATGAATATTTAAACTTAATAAATTTAAGTTTCTATTATAATAATAAATTCATTTAATTTTGAATAAATTTTTAAATTAAAAAAATATCAAATTTTAAATAAAAATAGTAAGTTAATTTAAAAAAAAACTCAATTCTAAAAGACAAATTAATTTTGAATATTTAAACTTTTTATAAAGATATATTTTATCTCAAAAATTTATACATGAATATTATTAAACTATAATTTAAATAAGATATACCTGAGTATGTTTTACATTAAAATTTTAGACCCAATCCATAACCACTTAAGCTGAGATTAGATCAACTTCGGCTCAATAGCTCCTTAAGCTAAATTAAGACCTATTTCATATTAATAGTTGTAAGAAGATAAGCCCTTCAAAAAATACATATAAGACTGAATGGACTCTACAAGAGAAATTAACTTACAATCCCTCCCATCATCTTGGAGCAAAGCCAGGTTACATCCACAATGAACAATTACTTCCCATAAAATTTATAATTTCTCCATATAAATACTAAAATTAAATTTTTTTTGCTTATATAGTTTAAATAATTTAGTATATATTTACTTACCCAATACTAAAAAATAAATAAATATTTAGTAATGTTATATCTTCTAAAAAATTAAATATTTACCCAGCACGAAGCAACAAGTTTTCACTTGAAATTAAGGTTGGCAAAACGGCTCGTGTTCTCAAACAACTCGTGTTCGACTTGTTAAGAAGCTCGTGTTCGACTCGTTCGACAAGTTAACAAGCCGAACACGAACAAATTTGTTCGTGTTCGGTTCGTTTTGGCTTGAAATACTACATATTTGATGAGTAGTATTCTAAAAATTTAATTAACTATAAGGCTACAAAGATTTATAATCAATTAAAAGTATTAATAAAGAAAATAGAATAAAAATTATTAAATTAGATTCGAATGATGTTTTAATATAAACAATAATTATTAAATCTTGCTCAAATCTTTAATATTTTATGGCTACATGATTAGAATTGTCAAAACGACTCTTGTTCGTTAGGCTCACCAAGCAAACGAGCCCAAAACGAACACTCTTTTTCAGCTAAAGCTTTATAGTCGAACATGAGCTGAGTTCGACTCGTTTACAACCCTTCTTGACATTGCCTCTCCATGCAGGGATTAGACCCCATGACCATTGCTGCAGTATTCTCTGCAGCTCATCACATTACAGACAAACAAATTGATGCAGAGGAATGCTTCGTGCTGAGATTAGACGTGGATGCTTCTAAACTATCTTACCAGAGCGACAACACAGTCGAAATAATCGAACACATGATGTTTGGCAGCTTCAGCGAGCGGAGCGGACTTCTGCTGCACCTGGAAGACTCTCAGTTGATGAGAATTCAGTATTGTGGAGGGCAGGGGATGTACTGGAAGACCACCATGAGCTCATGGATGAAGGATTATGAGGCAATTGATGGAGTTATGGTGGCTCGTTCAGGGAGATCTGTGGTGAAATTGGAGCAGTTTGGGGTGGAGGGGGAGAAGATGATGGCTGGTTCGATGATTATGGAGGAGAAATGGATCATTGATGATGTTGATTTTAAGGTGTCTGGATTGAGTGCTGATTTCTTTATTCCCCCTGAAGAGATAAAGACATAGTTGTTAGCTTATTTTGCAACAGTTATTATTGTACCTTTTTTTTTTTGCATGAAAGTTGATTAGTATGTATTAGATGTGTTAAATATGCAATAATGATGTGATTTTGTTTTTGTTTTTGGATTATAGATACATATCATAACATTTTTTTGGGTTATTACCCTGAGTCAGTATCCAAGACTTTCCTATGCCATTTGTGTTATACTGCTATGTAAAGTTTTGATGATTAAAGAATAGTATTTGTTTTCTGTCCCTGTATGTTGCTTCTTCTTCTTCTTCTTGGGTGAAGCCGATTATAGGCTTTTTTCCTGATTTCATGGTATCAGAGCTTTCTGCTTTTTGAACCTCAATACCCAAGAAGCATTTGATTGGACCAAGGTGTTTCAACTTGAATTTGGTAGCCATGCTGCTGATCAGCTTGGAGATCTTGGTTGAATTGTTGTCGGTAATGAGAAGACCGTCTATGTATATGAGCACAAACATTTGAATGTTGTTCTAATGATATAATAGGAGGGATGGATCTGCCTTACTGAAATTAAAATCATTAGCTAAGAAGTCGGAGAATGTAATAGACCACTCTCGCGGAGCCTGTTAAATTGAGACCGTATAGTGATTTCTTGAGCAATCCTATATAATTTGCGAATTGTAGGTGGTTGTTTCATGTAAATTGTTTCGTTAAGGTTTCCATAGATGAAGGCATTGGAGATGTCAGATTGAAGTATATTCCAGTTGTAATGAAGAGCCATTGAAATGAGAATGTGAATGGTGGGGAGTTCAGCGACCGGGCTGAAAGTTTTGTGATAGTCGACTCCGAACTCTTGTTTGTGTCCTTGAGCGATGAGGCATGTCTTATGACGTGTGACTTCACCGAAAAAGTTAAGTTTGGTTGTATATGTGCACCTGGAGCCAAGAATGGGTTGATTAACTTTGGAAGGAGCCATGGTCCAGGTGCCCTGTCGCTGAAGTGCGATAAACTCTTCTATCATAGCTTTCTGTCATTGAGGTAGTTTAGAAGCTTGGGTGAAGCAGGTGGTTTGAATGGGTTTGAGGTGTCCTATTTGGATGTTGTGGTCATAGGATGTGCAGGTGGAGTTATATGGGTGGATTGTGGTGTTTGAGAAGGTGTAGGAGAATTGGATGTTGTTGGTTAAGTTGAAGCGTGATGAGGTGTGGAGATCGAGGGAGGAAGCTTGAAAGATGGGAGCTGTAAGGATGTTATTGGTGTTAGGAAATATGAAGGAATGTTGGATGAGTTGTGTGGCTAATTCATTTGTAGGAATGGAAAAGTATTTTCAACAAAGTCTGTGTGTCTTGAAGTGATGATTTTATTGGTGTTGGGATTGTAGCATTTGTAGCCCTTACAATGGAGAGAGTAGCCAAGGAATATGCATTGAACCGATCTAGGTTAAATTTTGTGTGTGGTTTGAGGTTTCCTCCATGGATAGCATGTGAATATGAGTGTATGTCGGTGGAGATTTATGGAGATGTTCGTATTGGGGGATGTAGTGGGTAGTTTTAGTGGACATGCATTTGATTGATGAGATGAATCGGTTGTTAGAAGGCTATCGGTCTAGAAGTTATATGGGGCATGAGTTTGGTGTAGTAGGGCACGAGTGGTCTCTATAAGGTGTTTGTGCTTTCATTCACCACTCTGTTTTGAGGTTTCCTCAATGGATAGCATGCACACCCAAAAATGCAGATATGAGTGTTTGTCGGTGGAGATTTATGGAGATGTTTGAATGGGGGGATGTAGTAAGTAGTTCTAGTGGACATACATTCGATTGATTAGATGAATGGTTGTTAAAAGGTTATCGGTCTAGAATTTATATGGGGCATGTGTTTGATGTAGTAAGGCATCAGTGGTCTCTATAAGTTGTTTGTGCTTTCATTCACCACTCCATTTTGTTCGGGTGTATATTGGTAAAGTATTGGTGAAAAATGTTATTTTTGGTAAGAACCTGACTGAGGTTGTGATTGTTTTATTCACCTCCACCATCACAGAGAAGAATTTTTATGCTGGTATTGATTTGATTTTGTAGTAAAGGAATGAAAATTGGGTGATCTGTGTTGTCTGTGATTTGGCATGCATACGAAATACCCAACCAAATTGAGAAAAGTCATTAACTAAAGTCTCCTTCTCAATTGAAAACTGGTTCTAGGTGTTTCCCTGATTTCAAATTGTGCATGCATGTATTATAGACATGCATGAAAATAGAAATTGATGAGAAGCTAAAACACAAACAAATTAATTTAAATGTGCCATAAAGATTAATAAAAGCTGAGTTTAAACATTACATGGATATACATGTCGACAAATTTTTTTCATAGCTAATTTTTGACAAATAATTTATCATAAATTTTCTTATATATTTTAAGTATTTACCGATAAATATTCCTTCATAATTATTTATTACAAAAAAAATATCAACAATCAATTGATGTTTTGCAAATTTGAGCACAACTTTACCCAATCTTGAATCATGCCACCTCCTAGCTTTAGCTCTCATTCCTGTTTCTCCTCAATGATTGTCAACCCTAGCCCAATCCCCCTTACTCCCTCTTTCTCTATCACTCCCAACAATTTGAGAAATTGGTAGATGAAGAGGTGACATCACATAGACTTGATGGTGCATAGTCTCTCCATCCACCATTGTCCGTACATCCGAACGTCCGCATAAAATAATTTTCCGTCCAATTTTTATCTCTCACCTCTTTACAACCCTTTTTGGTGTTGAAACCATAATAGTAGACTCATGTGTCACCGTCTCTCTTCCTCAACCAACACTACGTTACATACATGCAGATTTTACTCAACTCATCAGAAATGTGTATTTGCCAATTAAGATGACTATAATGCCAAGGAATAGACTATGAAATGAACTTACTCGAGAAGCAAAAAGATGTAAATATTCCATTTTGATTCAACCACAACATAATTACTATATATATATATTTACAAATCTAGCATCTAAACTTTAATTTTGTAAAGAAATTTGTGTCATCATATAATAAAGGGGATTACTACGTACTATCTCAAGTACTCAACTAATCCAGACACAAAAGGACTTGGCAGAGTTGATGTTATTCATTCAAATCCATTGATTCAAAGTTTAATGATATATCATGTTAAGCATGATATAGCAGAAGAATTAGTAACTTCTATGAATGATTGTGTGATGTTAATAGCATAAATTATCTCTAACTATTTGAAGGAAATAATAAACCTAAAGTCAACATCCCAATTAAGATAAATATATTAAATTATTGCTCTTCATGGGTTCCTATGACTAAACATAAGTATCTTGATTCAAATGATCTTTTAAGTCTTGCCCCAATCCTTAACATCTTATGGCTA